CATCAGAGAAGCACTGCCATCCCCCATAGGACACCAAAGCCCGCCTGCAGAATCTCCTGGAACAGAAGTGTCTAATCCAGCACCACATAATGGAATGATTACAACACGCAGTGACAGGGTCGTGAAACCACCAGAACGATATGTATAATTTTCAAAAGAACTGTTCAAGAATAGCACATAATCGCAACATCAGTTGTATGCATGGACAGCTGATATATAGTCATTGTTATTATTGTTTTCGTTGCATGTACATCTATATATATATATATGTTGTTTTTTTTTTTACGGAAAGGAGGATGTCATGCTATATGTCATATGATACCATAGCATTGACTGAAACCCTATATCCATCTATCAAACTGTATGATACACATTTGTAGCCCGAATTGATATACTCAAAATAAAGCCATATTTCGCAACCACCAAGGAACAGAAATCATTACAGCAACCAGATGTGAGAGGAAGAATAGTTGGATGTCAAGCCCAAATGCAGACCTTCGACTTTTTCTTTGGTTTGAGTCTTGGAGAGAGGTTATTTTCTCATTTCGATAACCTGTCTAAAACCTTGCAGTCAACGAAGATGTCTGCAGTTAGTGGTCAACGTCTAGCGCAACTTACTAAGAATCGGACAGCATCCGAAATGATGACAGCTTTTCAGCATTCTACTCAGTATTCTTTCGTAAAAACAACGAGGACGGCATTTCTGAGCCAGTTCTAGCTCCCGAGAAAGCGTTGAGCACCTATAAGGATCGAGATTGGAAGTGGACCACCAACATTTCCTGAAACCCCGGCCCAGTAGATCACTATCGGCGCATCTACTTCGAAGCTATAGACCTGATAGTGAATGCAATATAGCAGCGCTTCAGTCAACCCAGCTTTGCAGCCTATCAAAAGATGGAGTCCCTCTTTATTAAAGGTGTCAATGGAGAACCATACACAGAAGAGATCGACTATATGAAAGCATATAATGACGACATCAATTTGGAATCGTTAAAGATCCAGCTTCAAGTCCTGCGCCAGATACTAAAGGGTAAGGGTCCTATGGAATACTTTGATGAGAAGTTGAGTGTTGTTGATATCGCCAATACCTTCGTGTTGGACGCAATGACAATCGAAAGAAGAATTTTGGACTGTTCACTGATTGCCGATCTCTGAGGAGCGATAGAGTCACAAACTTCAGGAACAAAAAAAAAGAACCAGAGAAGATGCAGTAACAGGAGTCGTATGGAAAGTAGAGAGACCGACCCAATGGTACGCTCCCACGGTAGCGACCCCCAAGACTAACGGCAAAGTAAGATGGGTACCTTTCTTGGCACTGTTGCAGCGAACGGCTTGGCATCTTCTTTCAGGCTAATACTGTAGCTGTGATCGTCTTTCATTCTTCCAAGGCCTGTGAACAGTTCTGGGTATTTTTCAAATACTCTAACGCTCTTGTTCACGCCCTCTACTTGCATTATTAGCTTCAGTACCATCGCTGCTTTTCGTCCTATAAACAGACTTCTCTCTAGATTTTTACTGGGTATATTTCTTCATTCGACAGCTGTCTTTCCCGTGGATGAAGAGTGGAGCTGTGCTTTTAATTTGCCATCAGAACTTTGTGCGAAATGCCCATACATTTAAATGTATCCGCTTAATACGGCCAACGGCCACTTTTTTGTGGCCCGATTGACAGACTCCATACTTTTTAACCCCGTATTACGGCCAGGACAAACAGGTTACAGTTTAGATCTCTATGTAAATACTGTAAAGTTATTGCTGCAAAATCTGTGATTCTTTTTATCATTCGGTTAACATTCTACAGTATTGCTTTTTGTAGAATCAGAATCAACACAACAACTTCAAACAGAGAAACACGTACAGCGCGATGCGCTAAAGTATGTCCGCATTTATTTTATAGCGGTACAGTATTAAAACGAGCGACGCCGATAGCCTGTCTGGGGTGATATCAAGCCTCGAGTCAGTATGGCTTCAAAGGAAGCTTCATTCGTCTGTACCGAGCAAAGTCACTACCTATTTTAAAAAGTAGGTGTTACTGTACTCAGTTTTCTCTGTTCTACTGTTATATCTACAGTCCTGTACTACTGTATAATTTAAAGTTTTAAAGTACTACTAAAGTTGAGTTATAACTGAGCTCCAATAACATCAGAGGTTTTAGAAACATTAATTAAAAATACAAAGGCATTATTGCAATTAATAAAACACGTTTTAAGCATATTTTTGACAGCCCGCTTAATAAGGCCACCCCGTTAAAACGGCCACTTTTGAATGTCCCTTCGGTGGCCGGATTAACGGGGTTCCACTGTACGTATACGGTTTCGTTTTCTTCTTGAATTCTTCAAAAATCACATTCTTCTTAATCGTGAATTTTGATTCAAATCTCTCTCTGTTTCATAATTTGCAGATTTTTAAAAGACATGGTAGCAGCTAGTCCAGAACTAGACCCACTTTTCACAATCTTGTTTATTGTTTTACGGTCACAATCCTAGTACAAAATTCCGTACTGATTATGATTATTTCATTCCCATGTATCTTTGCACATCTTTGATTCGGATAAACAGAAATAAAAGTGGCTTTTGTTCTGGGGAAAAAAAGTGAGAAAATATTCCCTCCCAACTCCCTGACATATAAGTAACGTAACGGCATCAAAGAAAAACATTAAGTCGAGCTGCGTGACCACTTCATTTGAGACCTATCATACTGGGTCCGGGAAATTCCCCCGAAAAATGAAAGCTAAAATTTGCTTTGTATTAATCACATACACCTACTGGCAAGAACGTTGACATACGAATATAGAACATTAGTGATTTAGTGGGATAGGAATTATATTAAAAAACAAAAGAAGATCACTGAAGCTGAAC